CACCCCCGCCCGGCCTGCCCCGGTGCGCTGGGGCTCCCTCACTCAGAGGAGGGGTGCGGTCCGGCCGTACAGCGCCGGGATTCTGCCCCGGGGAGTCAACGGGCCTCTCCGGGGCGCGACACGGACAGGGCGCTGCGAGCAGAGCAGAGGGCGCCCGGTGGCACCTGCCGGCCCGAGCCCGCCTCGGGGCTCCCTGGCCCTCGAGAAAGGGAGCAGGGGGGAGTGAGGAGCGCCCGGCCCTGGTGGGGCACGCGCCCGGGGCCTCTTGCGCCCTCTCCCCGTCAGGTGTGGGTGAAGCTCCGTCCACGTGTGCCACGGCCTCGAGGTCATTTCTAGGGTGTGTGTGAGAGAGAGGACAGGTGTTCCGGTCTCCCGCCAGATCTGTGACACACAGGCGCCCCGAGGAAGAGCCCCGGGGTGCCTCCAGCTGTTTCTCAAATGCCCGCCCCCACGCCCAAGCCCAGGACCTTCTAAAGGGAAATCTGAAAAGCTTTCATGGAGTTTGGGGGGCTGAGGCTCTTTTGGGTGCTGGGGTGATTAGAAAAGACAAGAATAACTAACAGCCGGTCTGGCGCGGGGCTCTGTGGACAGACGGGACCCGTTTCAGCATCTGTGTAGCTACGAGTGATTTTCCCTCGGGGGCTTAACACACGGAGAAAACAGCCCTCCACCTGCGACCTGTCACCCTGTCAAGACGGCGAGATACCCACAAGACTACCTCCGTTGGTACCAGCTCCGGCCACGGGCAGGCCCGCCCCGCACATCTGCATGGAGAACAGGTCGGGGATCCCCGCCTGGGCCACCAGGGAGTCGAAGAACGTCTCCAGGGAGCTTGACGGCTGCAGGGGAAGAGGACGAGCTGCAGGGCCCTGAGCCCGGGCGATGGATGGCTTATTGGCTGTTTAGTTCTGTCCCCGGCTAAGCGACAGCCACGCGGGGTCGAGCAGTCACGAGACAGCGCCGGCAGACTGCTCCCACTTTGACGCTCCTTGGTAGGACTCAGGCCCCTCGTGGCCTGCACACACCCCGTGGCCGGACTCAGGCCCCTTGTGGTTTGCACACACCCCACGGCCAGGGCTCAGGCTCCTCGTGGCTTGCAAACACCCCGTGGCCCGGACTCAGGCCCCCTCGTGGCTTGCAGACACCCCGTGGCCCGGACTGAGGCCCCTCGTGGCTTGCAAACACCCCATGGCCTGGACTCAGGCCCCTCGTGGCTTGCAAACACCCTGTGGCCCAGACTGAGGCCCCTCGTGGCTTGCAGACACCCCGTGGCCCGGACTCAGGCCCCCTCGTGGCTTGCAAACACCTCGTGGCCCGGACTCAGGCCCCTCGTGGCTTGCAGACACCCCATGGCTGGGACTCAGGCCCCCCGTGGCCTGCACACACCCCGTGGCCCTGTGCGGTGGAGACCCCGCCGCCGTGACCATTTGCCCAGGCTCACGTTGTGCCAGAGCCCGCACTGGTCCTGAAGCCCACACGGCCCGGGGGAGCCTTCAGGGAGGTCCAGGAGCTGGCCACTACCACCGTGCCCTGGCCAGCCCCTCCAGAAACACTGTGGCCACTGTCCAACGCCCACCTGTGTGGCCTCAGCCCTGACCAAGGCTGGAGTGGGGGTGGGGGGACCCGCGCCCCAACTCTTTGTTTTCAGAGCTTGGCATAGTCTGGTCTTAACAAATTCTGCCCAGTTCAGTCAGATGCTTCCGCCTCCGACAGCCTGAGAGACCGATCTTCCTCCGTCACCGCTGGGTCGCCGCTGGGTCGGCGTGTCCAGGGTGACGCTGTCGGCAGGTGTGAGCGAGGCGCCGTCCTCGCCTGTCTGTGAGCCTCTGCTGAGGCCCCAGCGCTCCTCAGAGGGGCCCCGGCTGCACAGAGCGAGCCTCGGCACCCTGTTCAGTGCCACCCTGCCTCCCTGAGGAGCCGGGGCTGGGGGGGCTGGGTCCCCCCCACTGCTGCCCTCCCACCCCTCCTCACCCTTGCACCATGGTCGAGTCTGCGGGACCCCGACACGCCTCTGGGGGGGAAGCGGGGCTCCCTGGGCACAGCCGCGGCCCCAGCCGCCGCGGGAGCGGCGAGAGGCAGAGGCAGAGGCTGGGGTGACCTCGTGGCCAGCCGGCCGGCCCCCTCCTGCTGCCAAGGCCTCCCCTCTGTGCCAGTGGAGAGGACAGACGTTTGGAGAAGTCTTTCTCCGCCTGTGAAGGTTGTGACACGAACGAGGAGGAGTCCAGAAGTTTCTGTGGCGGGTGAGCAGCTGGGCCGCAGGGGTCACTTGGGGGTGCAGTTCAGAGCTGCAGCCTGGGGCCCTCCCAGCCTGCGAGGCCCCGATGCAGCCCCCCGGGCCGCACCTTCAGGCGGGTGCATGGGCCAACAGACGCGCTGTGCTGTAGCTCTGCCCTCGCCAAGTCCTAAACAAGCACCAGCGGCAGCTGGCCGGATCCTGTCGACATGTATCGACGATGAACAAAATAAACAAAGCAGGAGGCCACGGGTGGTGCGAGCAGATGGCATGGAAGCGGCAAGAATCGCACCGTCACCTCACACCTTGCAATGTGAGAAATGGGTGTGTCAGGGAAGACGCGCACACCTCCTGAGAGCGTGCGGACCCAGCATCAGCGCGCCCAGTGCGTGGACACAGGCCGGCCCCAGGCGCCCCGACCGCCCCGGGGACGCCCGGCCCCACCCTGCCCGCGGGAGGGACCGGCCGCGGCCTGAGCTGCGTCATCTCACCTTGGCCAGGGTGGCATAGGCCAGCCCGAGGATCCCGTTCCACTTGATCCCAGGCAGGAAGAAACTCTCTGACTCAAAGATGGTGGCGACGTTGACCAGGAAGGAGCTGTTGAGGCCCTTCGGGATGGCCACGACGTCCTCCCCCACCGAGCCGGTCCAGCTGCCCTGCGTGTACCTGACCGTGACGTCGAA